GGGCTGGTACCGCTGCAGAGACCTTAGAAAGGCCCCAGTTACGGGGTGTAGGGAGAGTTTAGCCGCGTAAAAGGGGAAACTTAGCGGAAATGACGACATCGCGGCGGGAGCTGACACGCGGGAGCGCTGCGATGGGCCGTGGTCGTAGATGCGAGGTAGATGTCCACGCTGTTGCAACGCCGAGCTCGGTGCTTGGCTTGTTCGTGCGTGCCTGCCTGTGTGATGAGCTTGCACCCTTGTGTGATGTGTTGACACCCCCTAAGCCCCACTGCTTCCCCTGACCACAGTGCTCTTAGGTGCACGAGCAAGTTCATAAACCGTCAAGGAATCACAGAACGTGTTGGGCTGGAAGGGACATTTAAAGGTCATCTAGTCCAACCCCGCTGCAGAGAGCTGCATCAAGAGGTGTGAGGTACATGGCCAGCAGGTCGAGGAAGGTGATCCTCCCCCTCTACTCCACTCTTGTGAGACCCCACCTGGAGTTCTGCATCCAGTTCTGGAGCCCACAGCACAAGAGAGATCTGGACATGCTGGAGCGTGTCCAGAGAAGGGCCACGAGGATAATTAAAGGGCTGGAGCACCTCTCATGTGAAGACAGGCTGAGAGAGTTGGGGCTGTTCAGTCTGCAGAAAAGAAGGCTCCAAGGAGACCTTATTGTGGCCTTCCAGTATCTCAGGAGTGCTTACAAGAAAGCTGTTGAGGGACTTTTTAGGATGTCGAGTAGCGATAGGACTGGAGGGAATGGATTAAAGCTAGAGATGAATTGGTTGAGATTGGACATTAGGAAGAAGTTCTTCACTGTGAGGGTGGTGAGACACGGGAACAGGTTGCTTAGAGAGGTGGTGGAAGCCCCATTCCTGGAAGTTTTTAAGGCCAGGCTGGATGGGGCTCTGGGCAACCTGATCTAGTGGGGGATGTCCCTGCCCATGGCAGGGGGTTGGAACTAGATGATCTTTAAGTTCCCTTCCAACTCTGACAATTCTATGATTCTGTAATCTTTAACTAGATCAAGTTGCTCACAGCCCTGTCCAACCAGACTTTGAATTCCTCCAGGGATGGGGCCTGCATCTCAGAGTCCTGAAGGAATTGGCTGATGTAGTTGCCAAGCCACTCTCCATGATATTTGAAAAATTGCAGCAGTCAGGTGAAGTGCCTGGTGACTGGAAAAAGGGAAGCGTAACACCCATTTTTACTGAGGTTAGAAACGGAGAACTACCAACCTGTCAGTCTCACCTCTGTGCCTGGGAAGATTGTGATACAGATCCTTCTAGGGGCTCAGCTAAGGCACATGGAGAACAGGGAGGTGATTCAAGACAGCCAGCATGGCTTCACAAAGGGCAGGTCCTGCCTGACCAGCCAAGTGGCCATATATGATTGAGTGTGACTACTTCAGTGGACAAGGGAAGAGCTTGGGATATCCTCTGCCTGGACTTTGGCAAGGCCTTTGACAGGGCCCCCCACAACACCCTTCTCTCTAAATTGCAGAGAGATGGATTTGATGGCTGAACTGTTCAGTGGATGAGGAATTGGTTGGATGGTCATATCCAGACGGAAGTGGTCAGTGGCTTGAAGTCCAGATGGAGGCGGGTGATGGAGGCGATCCTTTGGAGTCTGTTCAGGGACCAGTGCTGTTTGATAGGTTCATCAGTCATATAAACAGTGAGATTGAGTGCACTCTCAACAAGATTCCAGATGTCAGCAAGCTGAGTGGTGTGATCAACATTCCAGAGGGGCAGGATATCCTCCAGGGGCACCTGGACAGGCTGGAGAAGTGGGTCCACGTGAGAGTTCATGAAGTTCAACAAGGCCTGGACATCCATGGACCTTTAAAGGTCTCATCCAACACAAGCTGTTCCATGAGTCTATGATTCTAGCTCCCTGAATGTTTCCAGCTCCAGAAGCAGGGAGCTTTGGGCTTTAAGGTTTCATACTTATGCCTTGGTACTTTGTTTTCTTTAATTGATACTGTCTTATATGTAGAAATCTCTTTGTATTGTGCTGAAGTGCTGAATTTAAGGAAATAAGTGTAAACTCTAAAACAATTACAGAAACTCCACTCCTCATCTCTTTTCTTTGTCTTACAGGCAGAAATTTTTCAGGACTTTGCTGTTCAGGAGGAATCGGTGACGTTCCAGATTAATTTGTCTGTTCTTCTTGACTGCTTGACCATTTTCGGTACCAGTTCTTCACCAGGTATGATGCATATTTACCTTGACAGTGTACATATATCATGTATAATCACATGATGAAGCCTATACATAGCTATAGGGAGATTTCCAGTCTTGAAAGAAACTTCTGACTTCCTCACCTGAGCATGGCAGCTATCACTGTTAAGCAGGATCCATCCTATTTACTTAAGCTAATACATGTGTCTGCTGTGATAACAGTCGATGGAGAGAAGAAGGGAGCTCATAGATGTGAGCCTAGCCAGTGTGTCAGGGACCACTGCAGCAGGAGGGGCTAAAAGAGGCTGATTACTTTGGAAGATGGAATAAACGTATGTGCCTGTGTGATACTATTGGGGTAACTGAGGGACAGAGGAGTCTTCATGTGAAGATATTTTGCCCTGAATCTGTTTAAAGGACAAAAGAGCCACTTGTTTTGGGAGAGAACCTTTTTTTGGCATGAGGTCCAGTGAACAGCTGCAGCTTGTACTCTGGCTCTGGTTTGGGGCTGAAGATCTCAAATAGTTTCTGTAATCTTGATAAAAACCATGTCAAATAATTTGTTCAGGCTTGTTTAGCAAGTTTTCTGATGTTTAGGCTGGAGTATTGACTCTGAGGCCAGTGCTGTACCAGATGACTGACGCATGCGGTGACTGCCTTTCCCATCCATCTATTTTCAGTCTAGGGTCCAGACCATCCACATCATACGAATCATAATTTGTTCCCAAATGTCCTTCACTTAAGGGGAGAAGGTGTACACAGCTGACAGAATAGTTACTCTGCAGCCCATTCAGTTTAGTCAGTATGGATGCAGAGGGGGACAAGGTTCGCTCTACCAGGGATGGTGCTTCATACTGTCATGGGCTTTTAAGTGGCCAGTAGGGTAGGCTGGACATACCTCATCATCAGTCTAAAAGACTACAAACTGGGGCAGCCTCCTGTCAGAGCTGTCACTTGGAGCTGAAAAATCATGAAGGCTGACAGAACATCTTAAGGCCACAGGCGATCTGCACTGGGCTTACAAGGCACTCGGACTGACTAATTGCTGTGAACTGTAGTGGAAATCAGCACACTGAGAGACCGTATGGACATAGCTTGGAATTTGTCTTGCTAAGAAAACATTTTTTATCAAATAAAAAATAAATGTTATTTCTTTTCCAATGTTTCTGTGACTTGTGCAACCCTGGAACATCTAGCTGTGTCAAAAACATTAACAAGGGTACTCATAAGTTAAGTTAGGAAATGTTCTGGTGCAGATTTACTCAGCTTGAAGTCTTCAGGGGTTCCAGGTAGCATCACCAGTTCACTGTGCTCCTGCTGCCAATGCAATAGCTGTTTTGTGCACCTTCTCTTCCTTTCCTGAGGCTATACCTGCATCTGCTCTGTGAGCGTTATCGCTAGCTCGCGGATAAGGTACTGAGGAATGATACGTACTTAAGGTCTTACAAGAAATCTGTGGCTGGATTGAGTAGCACTTCAAGTACTCTAAGAGCACTTCAGGTCTTGCTTGTCAAATGTGTGAATTACAGAAATCAAACAGACTGTGGTTTTGATCCTGTTTGTAGTCTTTTTCAGTGACAGAGGTTGTCGGTATTTGCCTCCACAATTAGATATTAAGTTATATGAACCTGTTTGTTTTAAGAAAAAAACCCCAGTTCTTAGTGAATTGTCCAAAAGGACATGGACCTGTTGGAGAAGGTCCAAAGTAGGCCACAAAGATGAGGCCACAGGCTAAGAGAGTTGAAGTTGTGCAGCCTGGAGAAGGGAAGGCTCTGAGGAGACCATTACAATGGCTTTCCAGGACCCAAAGGAAAGCTGAGGAGGGACTGCTTATCAGGGAGTGATAGGGTGAGAGGTAACAGTTTCAAACTCGAACAAGGTAGGTTTAGATTAGACATCAGGAAGAAGTTCTTCACTGTGAGGGTGGTGAGGCACCGGCACAGGCTGCCCAGAGAAGCTGTGGAAGCCCCTCCCTGGAAGTGTCCAAGGCCAGGCTGGACGGGGCTGTGAGCAACCTGGTCTGGTGGGAGGTGTCCCTGCCCAGGGCAGGGAGTTGGAACTAAATGATCTTTAAGGTCGCTTCCAAGCCAGACCATTCTATGATTCTATGAATTCTATTTCCTATAAATTCTGTGGTTTTTTTCCTTTGATGGTTGTTCAAAAAATATTTTCACAAGTGAAAATAACTGTAAGTTAGCATGACTGCCTGGATGCTATGGGATGCACTGTGTGTTCAAGTGGAGTGACAGCATGGCAGTTTTTCTGGGCAGTTCTACCCTTGCAGCTGTGTGCTGAACTCCATGTCCCTTTGCTGTTTCTGTTGTGACTGTGACCTGAAGATCTAAATTAACCATACAAAGCAGCACTCTGATTTTGGGAATTGAAACATTCAGATTATGATTATCTGGCAGAAGGGGGATGTGACTGTAATGCAAGCTGAATTGTGTTAACAGTTTGGGTTGCACAAGTAAAGAAAGATGATGTGAGCCAGGGAGAGCCTCAGGACTGTGGAGGATTTTCCAAATCCACTGGTGTTAGCCTGATTTCGATTTGAACTGGTGTCTATGCACAGATCATTTCATTTTGCTGCATAACCATTAGCACTTTACAGGGTGTCTAGGAGTCTGCAGTAAGCAAGCTACATTGGTGTATTGGAGGCTGGACCAAACATGCTGAATCAAATTGATCTGTGCCCCATATGCTGGTAAAATTTGAATTTTCTATGTGATCAGATGTGCTACCTAGCTCTCTGAAGAATGTATATTTCATTCTCTTTTTCAGGAACATCAACAGCCCTTAGGATGTGTTATCGTGGTTATGGTTATCCCTTGATGCTGTTCTTGGAAGAAGGAGGAGTAGTGACAGTGTGCAAAATTAACACTCAAGAGCCCAATGAGTTATTAGACTTTGATTTCTGCAGTACAAAGGTTGTTAATAAAATTATCCTGCAGTCAGAGGGGCTACGAGAAGCATTTGCTGAACTGGATATGACGAGTGAAGTTCTGCAGATTACCATGTCACCAGATAAACCCTACTTCAGGTACTGGAAACTATACTTTCAACTCTGATATTCATGCCTGGCCTCCGCTGGGAAGTGTTTTGTGGAACAGCCATTGAGATACGCACAATGACCGATTCTGACGAGTTTTTAGAGAGCTGTGATGAGGTATTTTGAGATGGTGCCCTTTGTATTTCAGGTTATCCACTTTTGGAAACTCAGGAAGTGCGCATCTGGACTACCCAAGGGACTCTGATTTGATGGAAGCATTCCACTGTACCCAGACGCAGACAAACAGGTCAGGAAATCTGTGATCGGTGCTCTCTGTAGCAGATTGTGGGTTCTTGCTGAAGAGTTAAAAACCCCTGGTTTTGCATTACTGTGACATTTATTTTGCTAGTATCAGGGGGAAAAATACCTCTGATTTGGTACAAGTCTGTATACGATCAAAAGCTAAAGCGAGAACAATGTCTGTCTGATGTTGTTACTGGGAAAAGATTAAATTAAGATGTTGCTAATTGTTTTTTAGTTATTCTATGGCTTTAATTGGGAGTAACATTTCAGCTTCTCTCTGCATGGGACATTTTTTCAGATGACTTTTTTTTTCCCCTGCAGGTACAAGATTTCTTTGCTTAAACCATCTTCAAAAGCACTGGCTTTATCTTGTAAAGTGTCCATTCGAACAGATGCTCGAGGATTTCTTTCACTGCAATATATGATTAGGAATGAAGATGGACAGATCTGTTTTGTGGAATACTATTGTTGCCCTGATGAGGATATTACTGAAGCAGAACTGTAGGCGTATGTTTTGGCATCTGTATTGTATTTATGGTTCTATAAAATACTATATTTTTTTATAAAACTGAATGAGAGCTGTAAAGATTGTCAGACATAACATTGTTATTTATTTTAACTCTGAAATTAAAAATACTAAGACTTCCTTTATATTCCCTTGCAGAAGTTTCTTAGCCTTGACTCAAAAAACTGAAGCTGAAAAAGCAAAAAGGGGAGTTGATCTCCTGTAGCCCCTGATTCCAGCAGAGATGTTGAAGTGGTGTTCATGTAGTATGTTGCTGCTTTTCATAGTATTCTCCAATAATTTATATTTGTCTCTTGTTTTTTTGGCTTTTTATTGTTCTAAGCAATTACACAAGGGAAAATTTGAATGCTAGCTCTGTGTTAGCCAGTTAACTTTCAGTGACTTAAAACCAAAGTTGTCTTGAAAGATCATGACATTTTAAAACTGATTTCTTAATAGCAGCAGATGGTGTCTTTCTGGCAAATGCTGACATCTCTTCCTGGTGAAGCCACAAGGGTTCTCCAAATCTTGTTTAATTCTTAATGTAACTCAGTTCCTTGGAATTTCATCTGATACCAATTTACCCTTTTGTCTGGTGTTGAATTGGTAAATTAAGATAGAAGCCAGGATTTACTTACTCATTACTCATAACTGTTCTGGCAACCCTATTGTTTTGTGTCTAGTAATTCGTTACACGGCCACAAGAATGCTGCTGCTGAAATATTTCTGTACGTACATGTCCCAGTTCCTACTCTGCTAGTATCTACTAACACTGTTAAGAATAGTAAGAAGAGAAAAAAAGCTTCAGATTTGAAAGTATTTGTGAAATTTTTTGACCCTCTCAATAATCTTTTTCAGGAGCAGGAGGGACTCTTAAACTGAAATAAAGGAATGTCTTCCTGTGTCCTGTGGAGTGGTGCTAAAAAGAGCCTAATCTCTTACTCAGTGAAAAGGGAATTTCCAGGTTTTCTGCAGTGGCCAGCTTTGCAAAATGGTGAGGTGGGCTGTACCTGGGTCAGAAGTTGCACTTCTCCTTGCATACCTCTCCACTGCAAGAACCTGCTGGCAACAGGAGGTCCAGTGAACGCCTTGGATGCAGGGACTGCAGATTGTGCTGCGAGAAGCTGAAGCCTTCCTGCCTTGCTGCTGCGGGAGGTGATCCAAGAGTCAGTGTCCTGGTCAGTAATCTGCAGGTAGTCTCTTACAGCTCCAGGCTATAATCGGGATTTGTTTGTCAGAAAGTGAGGTTCTGGTTTGCACAACTGGAGAGCAGTATGTTCATACGTTACTGAGTTGAATGCTCCACAATTCAGCAGAATCCAAGTCCTTTGGTTTTATTTTAGGTTTAAAATCATTAACATTTCTCACCTCTTGCAAGAATATACTTTCAGAGTACAGTGTCAGCAGTTCCCTTTTGTCTTCTGTGCAAATCACCTGTTTACTGCAATAAATTTTACAGTTGAAAAATCAATTACGAATCTTTGAACTACAGAACTGATAAAGTTATCTAATAGTATCCTAAATTGCTCTTAATTACTGTCTTCTTTTTTACAAACTTAAGTATTCAGTATAGGTGAATTTCCTTAGAGCTTACTGTCTCAATTTGTGCACTGGAGAAAAAATTATTGTGGCCTCACAGAAAATTAATATTGTCTCTACTGAGTGTTAAGAATTAATCTCTGGGTGACAGGATGAAAATGAAACAGAACACGTTTCTTTCTTGATGTGATTTATTTTAGAGTATCAGAGTTCCTTGTATTGTGTTCAAGGACGTTACTGTGGCTTAATGTTTGTATTTGTATATAATTGGCTGCAGATGTACTATGTTACTTCTTAAAATAGTACTTTTAACAATTTCTTCTATAAAATCTACCAGCAGTGATCCTGGAAGTAGTATCCTAAGAAGTCAGAACACCACAAAATACCAGAACTAACTGTTGCATTTCACAAATAATAGCTGTTAGAGACATGCATGATTTGTGCAAGACTTGACGTCTGTACTCCAGTTGGACTGGGCCTAGACTCACAAAGGTGGGGAGATGCTTGTGGCCCTTCTGCCTTTGTGGATATGGTTCTGTCTGGGAAAAAAAAAAAGAATCGGAAGTCTGGGCTATGGACTCCTTGCAGTAAGGTGAGGATTTAGGGTCCAGCTGTGATGGATTCTGTTATATCTCTGCCATCAAACATAGTAAAATAAAAAGGGTGGAGAATGACTCGAAGGTAGTGTGCATCTTTTCGACCTGATAAGTTGCTTAATTCTACAAATCTCCAAATTCTGCAGACCATCACTATTGGATTAGATTTAGTTTCTTACCATGGCTTGCATGAAATCCAGAACTCGAGTGACAGTACCTGTAGTATGTTTTATCTTTTCTGTTTGACAAGTCTTTCGCCCTTGCAGGCAATAGGAAACTTGTTGTAGAAGAAAGGTTTAGTTCATGTTTTTTCCTTTAGTGGAACGGACAGAACAGACTTGTCATGACTCGGATTTTGCCTACCTAATTTCTTATAAAATAATGCATATAAGAACTCCAAATTACTGGTGATGTGAACTAAAAACAGGTACTGGAAGTGGGAACTGGAACCAGCATTTTCCACCTGTGTGTAGCTGTAGCTGATGCTGCCTGGCTGCCCTGATTTAGTGCATTTGAGTCTCTGGGGAACCCAGATCCAGAGGTCACAAAACTGACAAGTGACTTTTCCTCTAATTATTTTAATTTGTGCTTTTCAGAGTAAGAACTGACCTCAAGTTATGAAGAAGGCACTTCTTTTATTTTACTTGAAAACCACCATCAGTCTGCTAAGATACTGGAAGCCAGGATAATGTCTTTGTCACCTGGTCCTGACAACCTTTATGCAAAAAAATACCAACAGTCCTGGTGTCCAGCTTTTACCTGTTGAGACGCATCCACAAACATTTGGATCTGTAATAACATTTGTGCACAAAATGCCCCAAAAGGAATTGAGTTCTCTACCCTCTGTTTCAAAGTTAGTCCTGAGAAAGAATCAGTTTGATAACTACGTATGGATTTTTAAGGAGATATATTCTTGTCTTCCTGACTAGACAGGTCTTCAGTGAGGTTAGCAGAATAGTTGGAAAAGTTGAGACAGGCCACATACTGTTTCCTGTAGGTATCCATTTTGAACTTCATTTTGTGGCAGCTTGTAAACCTTAAAGAATCCAGCAGGTGGGTCTTAGCAAAATAAATACATAGAAATTGTTCATAGAACACTAACATTAAAGTGAACAAAGATGGAATTATTTTTGAAGTGAACCTATTACAGCTTGACGCTGCCTTGGTGAGACAGAAACTCATTTTAATATGAATCTATCTTTGAGAGGTTACAGGGCTGCTTAAGTATAAATGGAAGTTAAAGGCCACAAACAGGCTGCTAGGGTCTACTTCTGCCCTGCTGCTCTCCTTAGCCAGACTAACAACTAACAGGGTAGTGCATGAGCATTGCTAAATATAGTTGTAAGGGCTTTGTAAGGGAGTGGGTGTTGCAGGGTTTGAATATCTTGCCACAAATGTGAATGTTGTTCTCTGCAAGCATACTAGGGCTCCATGGAGAAATATAGCCACAGGAAGCCTAGAAAAGGTCTAAACCACAGAACAGAGAAATCCAGGAAAAGCTCCCCTTTTGTTATACCATGGAAGATCTGCTGCCATTGAAGGCAGAGAGAGGGTGGGAATTTCACTCCCCCCAGAGCGATGGCATGCGGCAGTATTTGGCAAGTTTGGGTCAGCACTTTGGAAATCCTGTGAGCCAAATCATTATCTTTTTGCATATCAAAACCCCTTTGAACTACTGATCAAAAAAACCCCTAGATGTTGGTGGCTGGCCTTTACAGGCAAGCCTAGAGGGGGAATTGGCTTTTCTAGTCTGATGTGAGGCTACGGGAAGAGACGATGAAGATCTCCATGGCGAATTTAGCAGCCTCCTACCCGTAGAGCTCAGATGGGACCATGGGATTTGCCAAAAATGAGCAAGCCAGCAGAAATTTGGAGATTTAAATGCATTTCCTATCTTTATCCAAGCAGACAACAAATCTATCTGTACATAATGTGTGTATTTTACCCCATAAATGCCAACAGAATGGAGCAATGGATTTGCAGCACTGAAGGAGGCATGAAACCACTCAGTCAAGCAGTAACTGCAGGGAGTGTGCAAACTGCCTTGCCTCTGCTTGAAAACCAGACAGATGTCCAAGGAGACAGACTCCTCGTAAGATTTTGTACACGGGTCAGCACAGTTCAGAAATCTGCATTTAGGTGCAAAGCTGCTCCCGTGAACCCCAGCAGCGTAGTCTGAGAGCTGGCTGCCAGGCTATGCCTGCCCACGTAGACAGTGCACAAGGTGCTCCCTGGCACGGAGGGGTTGGGAAGCTGCACAGCCGGGGTCTGCACTGCAGAAATCTCACCTTGCAAGGTGCAGGGCCACGTGCAAAGAGATTGGGCTGATCGAGAGCTGTGCCAGGCACTTAGTTTCAAAAACTACTGATTGGTTTGGGCTGACACCATGGCAGGGCCCATACCAAGCTGTCTAATGGTAGGGGTGATCTTGTTCTACCATATGAGAACTTTTACAGTTACTTTTACAGACATCACATGATGAGTCACCACAAATGCATGTTTCTTCTCATTGTTTTACAACAAGCTGTTCACCTTGATAGAGCTCTGCCATCAGCTGGTTTGGGGCATTCAGTCTCCTAATAAACTAAAGAGAGGCATGAAACAAGTCCCAGAGGAGTTGGGGTAAACCTAGGCTGTTACCCGCTCCCAGCATGACGGAGTGTGTCCCCTGCAAGCAACCACCCTGCAGAGGGAGCCAAGGCTCCCAGAAACCCTCCCAGAGAGGTGTGGAATGCACAGGGCTGCTCCAGGCCATCTGGTGTAACTGCAAACCCTCATTTAATGTACTACAAAGCAGACCTGGTGATAACACACAGCTTTAATTATACAGATATTTGCAAGGGACCATACTGCCATACTGTCAGAGACCCATCAGCCAAAGCATCTGCAGAGGAAGCTCTGCCAGCCTGCCCCTTGCCAGTCATCAGTCAGTGACATGATTTCT